AAGGTCTATACTCAAATGCTTGGCTTAAAGACCCCATGAGTTTCCAAAAAGAATCAGTTCCACACAGAAGACTGAAAACCTTAGTAACATCAGAAATTTGACTCTCATCCATAATTTTTTTTATGAAGCTAATGGAAATTGTACCAGCAAAAAAAGGGGGGGGGGAGGGTTGTATATAGTAAACAGAATTTTTAAAAAGAGGGGAAGATACGGTAATATGCTAAGGTATGACACATGTACACCAAACTACCAAAGTCCAGACTGAAGCAGCACTGGGCATTCTAGGAAAGAGTTCTCCAGGAAAAAGGGCAAATGATGTGTCAGTATTTGAAGAAAGAAAATAAAAACTAATTAAAAAAAAAAAAAAAAGTAGCCAACTGGATTAAAAAGCATGAAATTATTACTAGGTTTATTAAAAATTATTAAACTGAAATTGAGGCAATTTGTAAAAAGAAAAAAAAATCAAATATAATTATGTACCCTTTCTTAGCTTTCAATGGGGAAAGAAGAGTCTCTTCAATAAATGGTGTTGGGAAAACTGCATTTCCACATGCAGAAAATTAAATAGGATCATGTCTCACGATACAGTAAAACAACTTCAAAATGGATTAATGATGTAAATATGCAAACTAAAACCTTAAAATTCTTAGAACAACAAGGAGACAACACTGTCACGCTTAGCTTTCAACAATGGATTATCTAATATCCTAATATAAAAACAAAAGCACAAACAGCAAAAGACAAATAAATGGGACCTCGTAAAAATTTTAAAAAATGTTTTGAACATTTTATTATGGGTTGGGTGAAAGTTTACACAGCAGATTAGTTTCCCATTCAACAACTGATACACATTTTTCGTTTGTGACACTGTTCATCAAAAGATTACCAAAAAAGTGAATAGACAAGCTACTGGCTGGAAGGGTATCTTCAGAAACCATATTTCCACCATGTATCTAATAACCAAAATATGTGTAAAATTTCGACAACAACCAAAAGACAACCCAGTCATAAAATGGGCAAAGGACTTGGACAGTTTTTCAAAAACGACATGCAAATGACCACCAACTACATGAAAAGATGCTCAGTGTCATTAAGTCATCAGAGATGCAAATCAAAACTACAATGAGACACCACTTCATTCCCACTAGAATGCCTAAGATCTTTAAAAAAAGAGAACAGAACAAACGTTAACAAGGATATGAGCAAACTACAACCCTCATCTACTGCTGGTGGGAATGTAAAACGGTACAACCATTGTGGAAAACAATGTGGCAGTTCCTCAGAGAACCAAAAATAGAACTATCACATAATCTAGCAATTCAACTCCTAGGTATATACCCAAAGGACTTGAATGCAGACTCAGAAACTTGTACACCCATGTTCACTGCAGCACTATTCACAGTAACCAAAAGTGGAGATAATCTAAATGCCCATCAATAGATGAATGGATAAACAAAATGTGATACATACATACAACGGAATACAACTTAGGAGAAATGAAGTCCTGACACATGCTACAGTATGGATGGATGGAGCTTGGAGACATTATGTGGAATGAAATAAGCCAATCACAAAAGGGCAAACAATGTATGGCTTCATTTACATAAAAAGAAAAGACAAATGTATAGAGACCAAAGTTTATTAGTGGTTACCAGGAGCAGACAGGAGAGGTGATGGAAAAGTCACATTAATTAAGGGTAGAGATGCACAGCCGATTACTTTAAGTTGTACACCTGTAAAAAGTTGAATTGGCAAAAGTTGTATGATAGATATATTTACAACAAGGACACAATATAGTAGCTGCTTATGTACAGCCATACACCTCATGGGATTTGATTCCTTGGTTTGGGGGTTTAGGCTCATGGTTTTATGTAACATCCCAGTAAACTGGCCTAATAACATGTTTAGTGCTTCTGTTCTACCTACTGGTTTGTTGCCTAGTGAATGTATGGGGTCTTAAAAGCTTGCAAAGAGCCATCTGGGGCACAATTCGTCTCTATTCACCTGGATCAACAGAGGAAGGAATGTCACGAATACAAGAAGGATATGCAATGTGTGGATAAGTGCCTCCAATAACAACTGCCTCCTTTGCCATGAGGCTAGAACGAGATGATGTCTGGCTACCATGATTGAACATTTTGATCAAAGATTGCTTATCAAAGGAGAAAAATGCAGAACAGAATTTTTAAATTTTCATGGACTTTAGACTTTCTGGAGCCACAGAAGGTGGGTGAACCCCAGAAACTACTGCCCTCATAAACCTTAAACCAAAAAATACTCTTTGAACAATAGTTTAGATTCACTAGTAAAAAAGACCTACCTTGAGCTTTATGCTCTTTTAAGAACTATCTACATGGGATTAAACTGACAACAGAAACACTAAAGATCAGACAGGAAACTTAGGGGGCAGTGAGTTTATGTTAATGAAGAAGGCACAACTCAGAAAAGGAGGGTGGGAATGGGTGCATAACTTGAAGTCTGTAATCAATGTCGCTAAATTAACTGTACATGCAGAAATTGCTAAATTTGGGAGGAAAAAAAAAGCAAGTGCTGTTCATTATATCACTCCTTCTCAGCTTTGAAGTGAACAATAAATCATAATATAAACTCTGATTACCAATCAATTTTGTCACGTAAGTGTATTAGGAGTGAGGAATGAGGGCTTATATTTATGGGTATATACCTGTGTAAGGAGGTATATAACATTTAAATCCTTATTTGTCATAATACAAAATAAATGATACTTTAAGGGGATATTAAAAATACCGTAAGCATGAAATGGAGAAATACAGAGGCAGGAGTTAGTGATTTGTCTCTAGGAAACAGAAGGGTGGTTGTCATTTTTTAATGAGAAACAGTTCTCTTTGTATACTGCTATCTGATGCCTATCATAATGCATTTGATATTCACAATTCTTTTAAAAAAAGAACAAAACACACAAAGAAAAATACCTGTAAAAACAGAAAGAAATCATGAATATGAATAAAGGGCTCTTAAAAGGAATGCAATGCACAGCACTTTTAATAGCAAAAGTATCATAAATTACCTAAATGCCCGAGAGGATTTGAAAATTATGGTCTATCCATGATAAATAATAGTCTTTAAAATCTAGAATGCTCAATGATATATTGAAAAGTTTCTTGATAGTAGGTAGAACACTATTAAGTATGATCCAGACTTCTGTAAAAAAACAAATACATGTGTATAGGAAAAAAATCAAGTATAACAAGTAATCTATAGATAGAGAATATGTATAACTTTTATTTTCTTTGTTTTTATACATTTCCCAAATATTTTGCCAAGAACATGTTGCATTATAGGGAGATAACAGAAGTCATTGAACACACACACTCAAATTCTTAATTTTGATTATTTCTGAAAGAGAGAGTCGTGGATGATCTTTACTTTCTAGTGACATTCTTATTCATTCATAATGTCCATTTATGCCCAAAACAATGCTAGGTGTTCAGTAATTTGTCTACTTTCTCTTGCTGGACACACATGATGACCACATTCTACATCTCCCCATCTCCCTGCCCGTTTGGCTGGGGTCATGTGGCTGCATTCTGGCCAGTGGAACTAGGGACAAGTGATGTGCCTGTCATGCCGGCCTACAGAGTCCCTGGAGGCTCTACCACTCCTCCTCTTCCATGGCAAGTCTGGAAACTTCACTCAGTGTCACAAATGGGGACACCTGGGTCCCTGAAGCCTGGAGTCTATCAACCAACCACACTGGACTGTGATGAAAGCATATATACTTCTACTGTGTGAATGATATTTTGGGGCAGTTTATCTACCCTAGTACAGTATTATTTCATAATCAGTGGGAAAATAGAAGCTAAAATGCTTGCTCTGAAAAACAAACCTTTAAAAGTGATGATCCATGATCTGTGAAATGAAGTCCTCAAAATGGTCCTCTAAAATCTCACTGATCCTTCTAAATGCTCCCAGTGCACCGAATCTTTCCCTATCACAATACTTATGACGATGCATTACAATTAGTTGGTTATTCACTTCACTAGACTGAGTTTCCAGATGTATCTTCAACACTCAATAGTATGTGTCAGGCACTTAAAGGGTGCACAATTAAGTATTCACTGAACGAACAATTCAGTTCATATGAATCCTAAATATTCACAGCCCCCTGAAAAATCATGCAATCTTTGAACCTAGAGGGTATGAGAAAGCAGTTCTCTGCTGAGCTGGCCTAACACTCGTATAATATTATCAAAATGAAACCAAGAGCCAAGAATCAAAATATAAGTATCTTTTGGACTGAAAACTGGTTTCTAGGCCAAATCCCTTATGGGTCTAAATTCTAAAGTCAGAAATTCAATTTTTCATCTTAGGAAATTACAGAACAATCTTAGCTATTTTAAATGGTGGTCTACTGTGAACTATTTCAGATAGGAAGCAAACGTAGAAAAATTAATGATTACTAGTATAAATGCTAAGAGCTCTGGTAGCATAGTGCCTAAGGCACCTGACTACTAACCAGAAGGCTGGTGGTTCAAACCCACCAGCCACTCGGAAGGACGGGGCAATCTACTTCCGTAGTGATACTGTCTCAGAAACCCAAGGAGGGGTCGCTATGAGTTGGGTCTGACTTGACAGCACATAACAACAACAACACTATAAATGCTCTGTATCTGAGGGGGCATTCTCAGAAAAGCACTGTATTTTATGTTATTTGGAAACATCAAGCTTTATAGCCCTTCTATTAAGTACAAAAGCCTTATTTTTAAATGTACTGAAATAGCATCATTCAAGGCTGAGTCTTAGTGTCCATGATGAATCTTGGCCATGGAGAATTAAGTGTAGTTACTAAAAAAGGCCTAATTTTATTTAAATGAAAATCTGATTTTACTCCCTGTATAAAAGAACTGGATTCCTCAAAAAAAAAAAAAAAAAAGTTTTTTCCTTTACATGGATAATCTTAGATAGGAAAAACCAAATTAATCTTTGGTTTTATAATATGGGAAAAACAACACACAGTTCTTTAGTCAAACAACTTTGTGATATTTATATTTCATTGCACAGATATGGGTTATACAAATTAGAAACACAAATTATTTCTTAAATTCCAAACATTTTCTAAAATATTACAGAAGGTGCCTAAGATATTAAAACGTCAAGTTGGAAATCATAATCTGAAGAGAGTTAAATAGGACACTAAAAATACTGAACATTTTAATTAGAGGAAAATTAAAATGTGTTCAAATGCTCTAACAAACTAGGTAGCAGGGCAACTAATAACTACAAATAAGTCACTGTGGTCCACTTTTAGTTATGCATATAGTTACATGATTATACTTTAGATAACCCCTCCTTTTTAAGATGCAAAATTTAAAAATCTGAATAAATGATTTAAAAGAAACTTTAATTCTTCTTAACACCTAAAACCTATGGTGAAAAGTATTATTTTCTATGACTTCATACAATTCCTAATCAAATATGAAAGACACCACACTTGGAAGAAAAAAAGATTTTTAAAAGGTAATGGTTTTAATTGAATTAATGCAATGAAAAGATAGTTAAGCCCTGTTTGCTACTTACATGAAAGAAGATTTTAAAAAATAATCACTGCACAAAATACAAAGGGTGGGGTTTATGCTATTGTATTAATCTTTCGCCATACTTTTTCTTGACTGTTCAAGAACAAATTAAAGTTTCCACAGCAAATTTGTTCTCAAAATGCCGAATTGCAACACAACTGCTGACTTCACGTTTCTGAATACCTGTTTGAGAGGGAAATGTTTTAAATTTTTAGCTCTTTAGTTATAGATATTCATATTAATCCTTAATTATTACTTAGACATATAGATATATTCCACAAACTTCTGTATTTTGAATTGTTTTATACTGGAGAAATTTTCACCCCTTTTCTAAGCTAAGTATCTTAAAACATTTTAGCAACAATAATGCCATACAAATTACTGGCAGTCCTAAGGGTACTTCCAATTTAGAGATAACTCTTATTTGCCCTTTAATGTTATGTAAATTTGACCTCACTTTAAATGACCAACGAACCCCTACTGGAAACAAATTTCTTCATCACAGTCACCTTCAACTTGCTATACTGCAGCTTTTAAATCACTGAAAAAGGCTTCCAGCCTTTTCTTGCACTGAAGTAAGGCTAAATAAGAACCATATGTACCTGTTCCAACTAACCTACAACTTATTAAAGACACAGTTAGGAATGGATCTTGTTTGTCACTTGGGGACTGCCTGGACTTACAAATTTATGAACTGGAAATCTTCTATATCTTGACTATGATGGTGATTACATGGCTGTGTAAGTATTTGTCAAAACTCAGAATTGCATACTACAAAGGGCGAATTTTATTTTATGTGTAAGAAATCAGGCAGTAGGTTTCAGGACACTTACAAGCCCAAGCTGAGCAAATAATAGTATTCAAAGTATTGAAAAGCACTAACAAAAGCCATGGAATGTAGTTAGTTTTACTGGGTGCTACAATTTCAGGGAAATCATACCACAGTGCATTTGAATGGCACATCTTATTTTCTTAAGTGCTTTTGCATGTATTTTCATTTGATTTTACAGTGATGTTGAAGGAAACAGGGAGAAACTGTCATCCTTATTTCCCAGGTGAGAATACAAAGGCAGAAGTATGTTGGCAAAGCTGAAACATTAGTTGTGTCAATGTTCTTGACAACTTGCACAACTCCTTTTCCAACTAACTGACTGATTACACCCAAATGTGATCCAAAAGGCAAATAAATGGTCTGCTTGGAATGCAGACCCCCTAAGCCACTGCTCAGAAGGAAGATTGGGCAATCTACTTCCGTAGTGACACAGCCTTGGAAACCCAAGGAGGGGTTGCTATGAGTCGGGTACGACTCGACGGCACGTAACAACAAGCATACACCTTAAGAGCTGTTGTCTAAATACCGGATGGATAGTAAGAAGCCCTTATGTGTGGCTGAACCAAAGTGGGAGGATGTGGAGTTAAACTAGGTAACTATCAGAACTTCAAAGCAATGACATCTCATACTTGATCTTTTCTAACTTACAAGAGTGGATTTAAAATTAAAACGATGCTTTGAAAATATATAGTGACCCAACAATTTTATTTTTTCATTCCTGGTAAGCATGTTAACAATGACTAGCCTTTTTCCATATTTAGTGCAACACAATGAAGTGAAACAATGAACTTTCCTATCAACACTTTAACATTAAAAAGTATACCTTTAATAGTTTCTCTGCGCTGCAGTTTGTAAGTTTCTTTGTCATGGCACAGTCGATAAATGAAGAAACCCAGGTGATCAATGTTTTCAATGCGATCAGTGATAACCATGTGCTCATGAATCAGATAGGACTGAGGCAAATAGGTTCCAGCCTACATATGGAAAAAATGTATTACATAAACATTTCAAAATGTGCATACTAGGAAAATAAACAGAATTCTTAGAAATTGTAGCTTAGGACTCATGTTAACAAACTACTGCCCGCCATCCGATTGTCTAATTTTATTTGAACAGTCATGCCCATTCCTTTACATACTATATATCACAGCGGGAGCTCTGGTAGCATAGTGGCTAAGACACTTGCCTGCTAACCAGACGGCTGGCGGTTCAAACCCACCAGCCACTCCTCGGAAGGAAGGTTGGGCAATCCTACTTCCGTAGTGATACTGCCTCGGAAACCCAAGGAGGGGTCGCTATGAGTCGGGGCCGACTCGACGGCACATAACAACAATATCACAGCAGAGTTGAGAGCCATGAGGCAATAGATTTTATGGCTGGAAAGCCTAATACTCACTCTTTGGACCTTTAAAGGCAAGCATTAAGGAAACTTAAGAACCTTTCAAGAAAACTTTTCCCAACTTTTGCTTGCCAACCAACCTGTATGTGTGTGTGTTATTTTCTCAAGATTTCAAAATATAAAATACTAGGGGGGAAAAAGACCCTTAGGCAAAACCACAAAGCAGAATGACTCTTATGATTTCAAGTCTTAGTTCCTATTTGTAAAGTTCTTAGCTGCATTTCAGTTAAGATGGGCCCCTGTCAGGCTGAATTTCTCAATATGGAATTCCAAGACACAATAACAGCATGATTAATTGAAAAATAAATTAAAATGTTCATACCTTGATGTTAATGAGTAACTCCAACAGGCTTCTGGGTGGCATGACAATGGAAGTGTTCAGAGGAATCACGTAGCATTTATCCAGGTTAAGATCTAAATAGGCTGTGAGTTTCTGAGAAAAAAAAAAAAAAAGATGTATTTAGTTAGGTTAATATTTGTAATACATGCAGCAGATGGATTAAGAATGATTTGTACCAGTGAGGTAAAAGATCATAAATTCAGGGCTACTTTGCAAACATGAAAGTGAGAAGAAAGAGAAATAACCAGACCACAGACCACTGTCTGCTGGGCAAAAATTCTGGAATTTTTTTTTTTAGTTTAACATGTTTAATTTGTATTACACACAATATTGGGATTGAGATGCTGTCTGGTGGAAATGCCAGCTCACGTTCAATATGTAGTAGGAGGGTCAAGCTCATGACAAGGTTCTTCAGCGACTCTCTTAGAAACTCTGTCCCTGTGAGGTTTCTCTACAGTGGCTACAATATGCATTTGTGTCTGTTTATATTGAGTACACTCAATTCTAGAGACTGTGGAGCTGTGTTTTTTCTAGCATTTGTCTTCAACCAACTGTACCAATCCCATTAAACTAAACTGTTCTCTTAAAATAAAAAAAAGAATGATCTGTACCACTCAAATGAGTAGGCTTTAGAATGTGGAAACCACTCTCCAGCATTTCAACAAATCAAGAATTTGGTGAGACAGGGACAGAAGTAATTAGCAAAGGGAAAGGAAAAATTATTTGTACTGATAATTAAAAATCATAGCAAGAGCTTGTTTCTATAATAAGTCATAACAATACTTATTAAAAATCAACTGGAAATAACCTATCATCTGATTAACACGTTTGTCATCACATGTGTGAGTTCTAATGCCCTCTCAGGCACATAATGTATACATTGTATATAATGACTAACTTCTATGCAGCTACAACAGCACTACCATTTTTAGAGAATTAGAAAAACAGTTACTTAAATGATCTCTCGGTTCTGTGGTTTAGATGGAAAACTCCAATTGAGAAAGACTGTCTATAGCATTATTTTTTTAAAGATTAAAATGAGTTAAACTATATCAGCACTTAAGAGTTTTAGGAGCTCAATACATGTTAGCTTTATTATTTATTTGCTATGGATAAAGTACATTGTTTTGAAGTAACTGAAATGTTATCTAGTAACAGGCTGTCATCTCAAAAAATAGAGAAAATGAGCATCATATTATATATCCTCTGGCAAAATATTTCAAAATTGGTTATTCAGATTATTTCAAGTACTTGTCGACTGTTTCTCCAAATTTTAAAATGTTAAAACATGTAAAGCTGTTACAAAAAGCTAGCTTATTGACATTCATCAGATGTGTAAGACATTTGTAAACTAACTATATGAATATTCAAAATGATAAACTTGTAGAGAAAAATAAAAATTACTCAATATGTGAACTTCTGAATCCTGTTTTTAAGAAAATAAAAAAAGTTGGCACAACTGAGGAAATATCACTAAGAACTAGGTGTTAAATATTGTATCATCATGTTAATTTTCTTAGATGTGGTAATGATATTGTAGTTAAACAGAAAACACATTCTTAACAATATTGGCTGAAGTACTTAAGGGTGAAGTAATAGATGAAAGACAAGGTGATCAAGCAAAGATGGCAAAATTTTGGATCTAGGTAGAAGACTGGGGGCAGGTATTTTCACTTCAAGTTTTCTACATTATATAAAAATTTTCCAAAGCTGAAAGAAAATATAAAGGAGAAGTAAAAGAGATTAACAAAATGATGAATAAGTAAAATGACTAACAGCTCAAAATGCTGAACAGAAATGGAATACACATCAACTCTTATCTATAAAAAATGAGGGAACATTTAAGAAATAATAGTAACTTATAAAGGAGGACCAAAAGGAGGTGGCTTCAAGAGTAGCCAAGTCAGTGAAAGGTTAACAAGATGGGAGATGCCTAGGTCACTGGGTCTGCTTCAGATACTGAAAACAGAACCAATCAAATGATTCTGGTTTACCTTGCAGGGTAGCAGAAACCCAAGTCCATTTCCTTAAATGAAAGCTGTAAACTCTACATAAATTTAAATAGTGTGTTACTAAATTAGCAAAAACAACAAAAAGCATAAATTGAAGAAACTGCATTTTTTCTGCAGTCTGGACACCTGGCTCACCTTGTTAAAGTCATGAACAATGTTGGCAGGATCACTATCTGCAAACTCTGGGACAGGCACACTGATGAATTCAACCTCTTCTTCTTCAAAGATCTTAATATTTTCTTCAATCGTTTGGTAGCGAGCAGCTGGGGCATCAGCAGAAGCCTCATTTAAAATGACATCATCTTTGATGTATTTTATTCCACAGTAGTACACGTCATCTGGCTACAGAAAGTTCAAACACTATTTCAGCAAGTCAGTGGGAGACAGGTTTTTAAATGTTAAGTATTACTTAAGCTGCCACTTCTATTTAAATAGCATTCTGCTTGCAAACTCTTACTTTCAGATGACAAGCCAGTCAGTTTAATTACAGAGTTAACACATTCTTTAAGACCAGATTTTGAAGTATTCTAAAATACACAGTTTCAGAAGAATGAAAAAAAGCAGCTGATTGCCTTTCTCCTTTTCGTGGTTGACAAATATAGAATATAAAAGCAATTATGCAACTGGTGACAAGGAGATTTGAAGAAACACACAGGCCTCCTTCTACCTGTGGGCCTTACTTTAATAAAAGAATGTATCTGGAAACTAATAATGCTTTTAAAAAAAAAAAAAAAAAAAAACTTTATAAACTTTATATGATTCAATGATTAAATAAATGTTCTCTTATTAGCCAAAACAGGGATAATTTTTCTGAAACATATACATGTATACAAGTAGTTCTGAATTCTCCTCAATAATCAGAAATTAGAAATTTTCTGACTTCCTCACATATTCTGAGTGAAGTCAGTCAGATGTAAAAGGACAAATGTTGTATGATCCTGCTTACATGAAATATCTAAAATAGACAAATATGTAAGAGATCAAAGTTTATTAGTGATTACAGGGGGCAGGCAGGAAGGAAAAGTACTGCAACCCTGAGTTACAATATATTGAAGGTGATGGAAAAATGTGCAAACAGTGGTGATAGGTGCACAACATGGTGAACATAATTTGTCACTGAATTATACACATAAAAAATACTGAAAAAGCAAATATTTTGTTATATATATATGTCTACCACACACACAGGATCACAATTAAGTGGAAAATATCAGATTATAGATCTTTATAATATGGTTGTGTTTTTATTAAAAAATTAAAAAGTATATAAAGATTTGGGGTATTTAACATTAAGACATCAAACATTATCTCCGTACAGTAGAATTATAAAAGATTGTTTTCCCACACACACATATACACACACACTCTCTCTCTCTCTCTCCTTGTAAAATATTGTAGTCAATAAAAAAGGAGGCTAGTTTTTTTTTTAAAGAATGACTCTAAGGCTATTAAGTGACTAGTATGATTTAATATTTATGTATTTTTAAAATATTTATATTTAAAAATAATATTTAAATAATAAATAGTATTTTAAATATTTATTATTATAATCAGGGAGAGTAAGGCACTATCAAACAATAGAAAAGGATTCCAGTGGTTACTTGTGTTGTGACTTAATTGCTGTGTTAGGACTCTTTAGATAAAATCTTTAAAGAAAAATCTTGTTGTCAAGAGAAATAAATATATTACAAAACAAAGCTAATAAAAAAAACCTATGTCTTAATCCCCCGAGATTACTATTAACCTAAATTATAAAAAACTTCTGTCCTAAGTTACACGAATATCACTGCTGAAATCACACAATTCTTTAAAGAAACCAATGAATGTAAAAGAGGACAAGGTGCCAGTGTACTCTGGGCTCAAGGGAATAAGGCTATTGTGAGTGAGCCCAGATCTGCTATCAAATGGTAGTTATTAAGTATCAACATTTCAAGATTCATGCTTGATGCATTTATTTAATTGGCAATCAATAAACCTATACCTCTTAGCTATTAATTTTGGTAGGAAAATAAACATTAGTCAATGTTTAAAAACTCACCAATAATTTATACCTTTAGTCAGCAACATTTCAAAAAATGGTACTCTGCTTTTAGTGACTGTCTGACATGTTCAGATTTTTAACAGTTTCAAAATAGGCACCACCAGTGCTAAAGGCCACAGACAGCCAGTACAAGCTGAGGCAAGTCAGGGCCAATTGTCTAATACACATGAAATAGTATTTAGAACAGTACTTATAAGTCTGCCACTTACCTGAAGAGCAAAGTATTTATATAGGTATGCTCCTCCCAGAATGACACCCGCCAGCATAAACGCTAGTCCAAAGCACATGCACCAGCACCAGGCTCTTCTTTGACCAACTGGTACCACTTCATCTGGATCCTGAAATATAAAACAGGCAGATGACCAATGCATCTCATCAAAATCACAGAAGGCTCAGGTTTGAAAGAAATCTGCAGGGTTGTAATTTTAAAAATGAAGATATAAAGGCCTTGGGAAGTCAGGTCTCCGATCAAAATCAACCCAGGAAACACCTCTGATGGCACCAGGACTCATCACAATGCTTCTGCCTTCTCTCAACTCCCCATGTGCCAACCCTATCTCGAGCAATAATACACTAATTTCCTATTTTCTATGCACAATTTTTGTTGATTAAAATCTCTCATAACATTAAAAATTCAGAAAAGGTTACAACACAACTCTGTTGTGAAATGTTATGGCAGTGGACCCTGTGTTTTACAAAGTCAGGCTATCTCTGTGGTATGTCATTTATAAAATTAAGTAAAATTTATTAGATTGCTGCAGGCTGTTTATATTTCGTATCTGCTATAAACCATCTTAACAACCTGTAAGAAAAAATAGCAGGAAAATAAAGGCATAATATTCAACTAAAATTCTTTAAACAATTAGAATCTCGAAAAAGAAGACTAACTTAATACCGAGAAGTAATCCTACAATTTCACTGCCTCACCCTAAAATAATCCCAGTTGGATAAAGTTCATTTTATTATAAAGACAAAGGCTTTACAGAACATGGAAAGATTCAATTACAAATAAACCTACTTATAAAGTCAGAGAGAAAGAACTAGCATATAATTGTAAGAATTGATTTGGATGCAGTTACGGATATAATTTTGGGTTAGAACAATTGAGGTCATGAGATGCACAGTTCCTAGATGCTTCCTTTGCCCTTCTAACTCAGTCCCTCCTGTCACTTCAGAGTCATAGGTCATTTCTAATTTGCACTCAGGTTCATGTGCAAAAAGTTCACAAAACAAGGGAGATGAGTTGCTGGTGCTATGTAACTACTAGCTCACAAAATAGTACAGAAAGAAAATAAAAGCTTCAATGGGTTTGAAACCGTAGTAAAAGGTGTTCTAGTTCATAGTATACATGTACAGACTCTTAAGAACCTGAATTCTTTCCTTTACTTGGGAAAACTCAATAGGTTATGGCTTACGGTAGAAAGTAGACTTGGGCATAAGACTCCATATATGAACACACAGAAGAAAAAACAAATTGATCAAATGCATAAAAGCAGGGTGGGTGTATCAGACCAGGAAGATGAACATGGATAAAGCAAGATATTCAGTTAGGGAAGAATGAAAGCTAAGGTTGAATACATAAAGTGATGCAAGGATCAGAAAATTGTGAAAGCATTGTGCCCTGAATACTTGTCAATGTACTGTGTACATTCTTAAAATGAGTGCACTGCAAGGTAGTACTTAATGAAAACAAGCCTAGAAGAATTAATCAGGCCATGTAAGATATCCCATCTGTGAAAAACATTACAAGAATACCATGGAGTCATAAAATATTATAAAAGTTGAATGATAAAGTACACATGTTTTGCTTGGGGCTTTGTCTGACATAAACATCTGAGGAGATAAGAAATAGTTCCCAGCACAATTAACTTTGGGTGGAGGCAGGGTGGGGGGATGGAAATAACAGATGGAAATGGTCATTTCTAAAACATTTGCTATCAGCTGCTGAGACAGCCAAATGCGTGCCCACACCCAGCCTATTTGGCAGGCTCTTTCTTGGAACAGTATATAAATGAACAGCCAAAGAGCATGGGCAGACACCTGTAAAATATGAAGCCCCAACTGTCATTTTAAAACAGGACTTTGAACTGGTTCAGTCATGGCTGACAAAACAAAGGCAGAACAGATCCGAATTTTTAAAATTTGGGTGAACCAGGATGATAAACAGAATGGGAAAAATTACAGGTGAAAACCCTACTAGAAACGTAATCTCCCTCTTGGATAACAAGGGCAGTGTATGCATTGCACAGTAACCAAATCTCCTGTTGGATTTTGAGCAGTCGGAAACAGCCCAAAGATGGCGGCCTACTGCTCTGTTTTGAATGTGTTGCTCTCCACAGTCGTGCCAATAATCCAATCTTGTACATCAGGCTCCTGAAAGAGCTCACTACTCATTTTCTAAGTCACTCATTCCAGGGCATCGCCCATAATTTTTCCCATTCCAGTTATCATTCTGGATCCCCTAAACTTTAAAAATTCAGGTCTGTTCCAGTTTCACTTCATTGGCCATGACTGAACTGATGTGAAGTCCTGTTTTAAAATAGCATTTTAACTCCTCAACAAACAATTATTCATGAATAAATTATAAACTGTGTTCCAAGAGCTGTGCGAGCCAATGGGAATATAGCCTCTGCCAAGAAAGAAGATAAATATACAAAGAGGGCATATACAGGATTACAGAGAGAGCACAGAGAGGCTGCAGAGGTTGGGGAAGACTTCCCAGGAAAGAAAAGACTTGAATGGAATGCTGAAGGACAAGTACTCATAACCCAGGGAGAACATAAAAGTTTGAGGGCACTTTAAGAGGACAAAGAATGAACAAAATTATAGAGCCAGAATGCATGGCATCTCCTGAGACAAGTGGTATTAGCTGGAGTGCCCAATATGATGAGGAGGGGTACAAGAGATGAGGATGGAGAGGTTAATTGCATGGAGGATCACAAAGGTCTTCTGTACACTATGCTATGGAGTTTGAGTTTATGGGAAATTCAAATGTGATCAAGACATGGCTCACACTATGCCTTTACAGCTAGAATTAACATGATGTATAATAGATTAGAAGGAGCTCTGGTTGCGTAATGCCTAAGGCATTTGACTGCTAACTAGAAGGTTGGCGGTTCAAACTTGCCAGCCACTCCTCAGAAGGAAGACTGAGCAATCTACTTCTGTAAAGATTTACCGCCTTGGAGCAAGTAGTTGGACCTGTGGGCTCGGGACCATGGTCGCAGGGGACATCAAGCTCAACTGGCATAACATACTACACAGAAACATTGTTCTACATCCTACTTTGGTGAGTAGCAATTGGGATAGTCAAAGCTTGCAAGCTGCCATCCAGATGCAACGATGGGTCTCTCCTCATCAAGAACAAAGAAGAATGAAGAAAACCAAAGATTCATGAAAACAATTAGTCCAAGCAACTGGTACACTATGCAATCCTCAGCCTATACAACTATGAGACCAGACGAACTAGATGGTGCCTGGCTACCACTGTCAACCACTCGGAGAGGGATCTATGTAGGAGATTCTGGATAGAATGGGAGAACAGTGTGGAATAAAACTCAAAATCATTTAAAA